GGGGGAAAGAGACAGAGGGTGATGAATGGTGCTTGCTGGGACATAGAAAGGAAAGACAGAGAGAGAAAAGGAGACATACTGGGAATGCTTAAAATAGTAGAACAGAGCAATAAAAGTTATAAGTAGAGAGAAAGATGAGAGAGACCAAAAGGAAAGGGAGAAGATATAAGGGGAAAATCAGATACACTGAGGATGAAAGGTAAAAATAGAGGGGTATGCACAGGGCCTTGGAGTACGAGAAGAGAATATGCAAACTCAGAGAAGAGACAAAAAGGAGCAGTGGGGTTAAGACCCAAAGAAACCTATAGGCTTTTAAAGATTATTAAAAAGCTTCTCATCAGAGCCTATAGTTCATTACCTAAATGATAAGCATTCATCACTGAGTAAATATTTCAATAAGTATTATCTCCTTATCCATTTCCTCACTGCTCATAATGAGCCCTAGCAATCAAGCTTAGAGTCCCAGGCTCACATGAGAAACTCCCAGGGGTACAGCAGCCTGGGCATCTCTCTAGCGGAAGCTCCCATGGCGACTCTTACATCGCACCATTTATGCTGTAGTGCATGTGGGCAGTGCCCCCTGGAGTGTGGACATTTCCAGGTGCAGTTTGGTGCAAACTAATTTCTGGGTACAAAAGAGGTGATTGGAGTAGGGCTATAGCTCAATAACATCAAGACAAAGTTAGGTCAGGCCTGGTTAAATAGTCTCTATTGTCTATTAAGGGTATGGGATAGTCCAGCCGGTATGGCTCAATGGTTGAGCATTGACCTAGGAACCAGGAAGTCATGGCTCATTTTCCAGGCAGGGCACATGCCCGGTTATGGGGCCTGCAGGAGGCTGCTAGTCAATGATTCTCTCTCATCATTGATGTTTCCATCTCTCTCTTTCTCTCCCTTCCTCTCTGAAATCAATAAAAATATATATTTTTAAAAAAGGGTATGGGATATCCTGTTTTTTAAAAAGTTGTTGGAAAGCAAGCTTAAATGTGAGCTATGCATTGGGAAAAAAAAGAGAAGCCATTGGCTCACTAAACAATTGTGGAAAATTTTCTCTTTTGCTTGGTCCTCCATCTACTCAACAGCCTTATAGCTAACTCCTTTTGTTAATTCTCCACCTCCCATGTCCAGGTCCACAAACTGGAATTAATACAATTAATGAACATCTGAGCATGTTGAAGTGCATAGGTAAAGCACAAAGACATAATGTACATCCTTTTGTATGCTAAGTTCTTTTTCACCCCTTAAAGGTCTTCATGCACAGGGTCATATCACCAATTCTTCATCAAATATTCCTAGGAATCTCTACTTTGTATTTTCAACCAATAGCATGTGAAAGCCTACAAGAAGGCCAACATTTAAGGACTACTACAGCATATAGGGCACATTTAAGAGGTAGGCGGAAAGAAAATTTAAGATAGGATTCCTTATTGCCTTAGAGCACTAAAGTATACTTATTTCAGGGTGAAGATCTGAAAATTTACTAGTAAAAAGAAAATGGGAGCTTGCTTTTTCAAGGGTGGAAGAATGCTACCCTTATTAATGAAGCATCTGCTACATCGCATGACCTATAATTTTCTCCAAAAACATTTTTTTTCTTACTTGTGTTTCAAGTCTATAAAATTCTTTGAAAGCAGGAATTCTGTCTTTTATATGTTCATAAACATATATTTTGCTCGGAATTATTTGCAGATTTTACTTCTTTATAAAATTTTTCAAAAGAAAATGTATTATTTTGCTTCTGTACATTGAATTTTTGGGTTTTGCTTTAAGTTAATGCACCATGCTGCTGGGTACATGCTCTTTTTGCCCCTCAGCAGTTCTTTCAAAATGAAAAAATCATTATGGTTCTTTACTATATCATAAAAGCTGCAGCCAAAAAAACCCCAAAAAACCAGGCATATAATACTTCTACTTCAAAGCATAGTATTTTCCTTTCCTCTCTTTGTCAGTAAAACTATCTTAAATTTACCTTAAGGCTGAGATTCAGGACCCTGAAGACCAAATTTTCAAAAATTAGTTGCCATATCTATACTTTCTGGTCATATAGCCTCTGAGGTTTCTTAAGTGTATTTTCTAAGATTATACCTTGAATTGCTAAAAACTC